CCCAGAACGAACTTTATATCTATTCCTGGGGCACTAGCGGTCCGGGCGTTGAACGTTGCAGACACAAACACGTCAGTCTTTTTTCCCCCCCTCGGCAACTGATCATTAATACGTCAGTAATACACGATGATAAGCTAGTCTTTAAGTAAATCTACGTAATGAATTGTGCGCTGGTCTATGGAATCAAAAGTTGCCATATATACTAGGCTCTACACAGCAACACACTTTTGGTAAACAATTGAGGGGACACAGGCGTGTGCATTTAATTGATTTAAACTCTTTTTTTTTTTTTTTTTGGACAGCTTATGATATGCAGGCATTTCTGGCACTACTTGTGACTTCCCTTTATACATTACTTGCTCAGTGCCAGTAATTATCTACACAAAACCTTGTGTTTGCTGTAACGGGGACTCGGATTCGAGATTTTAGGTCAGGCCCGGCGACCTCGTTGAATCCGAGTTCCACTGTACTCTGTCTCATAGTGGTCGCTTATTACGGAAGTCCTCTCTCCACTGTACTCTCTCTCATAGTGGTCGCTTATTACGGAAGTCCTCTCTCCACTGTACTCTCTCTCATAGTGGTCGCGTATCTCGCCTATGTAGTTCACACCGTTGAACACTTGTTGACTGGTTGGTTTTCAAGTTTTTTTTAACCTTTTCTTTTCTTCTCAATGTTCTGGTTTGCAGTACCAAGATCAACAGGGACTCACTGCGTGAGTCAATCGAGAACATTCTCAAGTATTCCAATGAGACGAAGAAACGCAAGTTTACCGAGTCCATCGAGCTTCAGATTGGCCTGAAGAACTATGATCCCCAGAAGGACAAGCGTTTTGCTGGAACTGTCAAGTAATGCCTTGAAAATTATTTCTTTTTACCCACTTGGCAAATGTGTTTACACAGCCTTCTCATCCACAAAAAAACCTAGGCTATCTTTAATGTCTAGCCTAAAAATAAAATCTGATTTGAGTACACTGGCGTTGAAAAAATCACATTTGCCATTATGGGAAGTTGACAGTAATGTCAACGGGACCTCACCCAGGGTCTAAAAAACTTGGGTAGGTAGGGTCTTTGAAGGCCCTGCCGACCATGTGCTTTTTCAAGGCATGATCGGTGATTTGGTAAGACCACTGTCACATTTTATTTTCGTTCTGTTTGAAGTTAATGTGTGTGATACAAAATAACATTACTTAGAGCAGTATAAATTTAATGGGGGAAACAACAGCACAAAGGATAGGTCATCCACAGTTTGAGCCAGTTCAGATCGCATCACCTTCAGACCCACTTTTCTACTGATAAAGGCTGTTTCTCTATGGCCCATTTTATAATTTTTGTTCTTTTGTGGGGTCGGGAAGATCTGGTTTTCACTGATTCTTTCCAGGGATCAGTTTAAAGATAGAAGCATTGTTGTTTGAGGTTCAATAATAATATAAGCAAATAATTTGAAGATGCTAGATTCTTGAAATTTAGGTTGATTGTTAAATTTAGGTCTGCGTTTTTTAATGGCGTTACCTCGTAAGACGCCGTAAGTGTTTTATTTATGCACTTGTCCATAAATCTTTTTTCTCAAAATGTTTTACACCATGTCTGCCAAAAAGTGCATTTAATTGTGCAGAAAGGCTAAACACTAAACATTCTGTTAAGTATGAACGTTTTGCCATGGAGAAAGGATGTTTCATGATTTCTAAAAGTGTTTTGTCCCCTTCTGCTTTTATATTGAGTTTGCTCTTTTTTCATCAGACTCCGACATATTCCCAAGCCCAAAATGAAGGTGTGCATTCTGGGTGATCAGGTGCACTGTGATCAGGCCAAGGCAAACAACTTGCCACATATGGATATTGATGCTCTCAAGAAATTCAATAAAGACAAAAAGTTGGTGAAGAAACTAGGTATGTTTTGTTTTGTATACAATTAGGGTATGGAGGTGTGTGAATAGCTTTTTTCCTTGATGTTGGTTTCTGTAACAGTTTTCTAGTGCCTTGGCAATCGATGATGCTAAAAAAATAAGCATGTATTACCTTACTTTTGAACGTGGTGAAAACTTTACTGAGATTGCCAACGCTGCGAGCCGTCTGGTTTTGATTTGTGGGGAGTGGTTTCTAGGTGCTTCACTTGGGTACTTGGGTTGTTTTTCTCATAATACTTCATTGATTGCTCACCCTAATGCGTGTAGAATATGGCTTTGAAAAGGGGGGATTATTTCATAGTATTGTGTGGATGAGTTTTCCATGCACTCCCATCTTTGCATATTGTGTGAAATAACTTATAAAGATTAAACTTGCCCCCTGCCTGTTGTCAGGAAAAATTGGATCGTCAGCTCATAGAGACACAGAAAAGATCAGTGGGGCACTGTTCCCTTTGAATTTGTTCTTCATATCTGAGTGCTTCTTAGTTTTATTTTTGGTGTTTTTTAGAGCACTCGCAACTAAGTACAGTCATATGAGTGCACGAGACACTTTACTTATTCAGTTTTGTAGGAATTAAGAATTTTTCCCTGGTGGTGGCTGAAGCCTGCACTTGTCTATTTTAGAACCACCAAGGGATCTTTAACGTGCGCAACTTGCACACGAGACCTCCAAGATTTTTCAGTCTTTTAGCATGGTAGACTTGGAACTTTGATATTGTTTGGGTAAATTAATTTTTCTTCTTTTAACAGTTTGTTTGAGCAGGAAGATGATCAATTCTTTCAAGAAAATCGTTATGTAAACTTGATATGTCTCTCTTACAAATTTGTGATTGATTTGTCCACAGCCAAGCGCTATGATGCTTTCCTGGCTTCCGAGTCCCTCATTCGTCAGATTCCCAGAATTCTGGGACCTGGTCTGAACAAGGCTGGCAAGTTCCCTGCCCCTGTTGTCCACGGTGACTCTCTTATTGGAAGGATCGAAGAAACCAAGGCCACCATCAAGTTCCAGATGAGAAAGGTTTGTTTTCTCCTCAGACCTAGATACGCCACTTGTCCGATGATTTTACACTCGTGACTGACTGCCCTGTTGTATTCTCCACAAACTCGCAATGGAATTCTCCAAAGTGGAGCCTGAATATAGACGTTGGTCGCTTCCATATATATCGGTGATCTTTCTAATTATCATAACAATAAAAGGAAGGATTAAGTAGGGTTAGATCCTGTGGTTTTGTTAGACCATGAGGATGGAAAAAAAAGAAAGTACAAGTAGAACTGACAAGACCTTTTTTTTTTCTTCTAAATTAGACAAAAAAATGTTCTCGTGTTTTTAGTTATGTTCGTTCTCTTACAGGGGTTTATTGTCAGAGCCAGGCCATAGGTGGGATTGAGTCAAGTGCATCCAATCTTGTGCTTTATATGTAGGATTTTTACTTCTCGGTGCTTACACCTGAAGATTTGTCTTTCGTTTTTTGACACAACAGTTTACACGTTAGATCACACATTAATTTATTTGTTTCGGGGCACCAGGGTATATGGAGTCCAGCCCAGGAGAATGATAGCGTTGTTTTTGGTAGCAACTGGTATCGGGAATAACAGTAGTTTTTTTGTTGTTTTTTTGGTACCGAGTGCCTGATGTTCAGGTCAGCCCTCTATGGACTGTCTACTCTTTTAGCAGGTTATGTGATGTTTATTGAAGTACATTTTTATTGGGTTTTTTTGCCTTGTGAACATATTAGTTTCTGTTCTTTTGATCTATCTGTACTGTCTGACCTTCAGTGTTGGTGTGTGGGCCATGTGAACGTTTCAGCTAATTTTGTATAGTAAACAATTTGGTTGGCGGGTGCTCTGGTGTGGTTTGCTTCTTCTTTCCTATGAAATATCTATCATCCTTATCTCCCCCTTCTTCTTTTTTATGTTTGTTACTCTCTTGTAACACCTCTAATCTTCTGGCGGTCATATGACCTTATGCAGTTGCAAGCGCCGTAAAACCTCTACTAAAACGAAACTAAGTAAACAATTTGGATATGGAGGTGTGTGAAAAGCTTTTTTTCTCTTCCCAGAAATATAACTTGAACACAGAGTTTGTTTGTTGTTTGGTTTTTTCCCTGATGTTGGTTTCTGTAACAGTTTTCTAGTGTCTTGGCAATCGATGATGCTAAAAAAATAAGCATGTATTACCTTACTTTTGAACGTGGTGAAAACTTTACTGAGATTGCCAACTCTGCAAACTGGGTTTGATTTGTGATGAAACTTTTCTTAAATTATCTTCAGCACTAATATGACCTTGTTATAGTGCAGTTGCTGTAAAAACACTTGCACCAAAAAAAACAACCCAAGTGGGTGGTTGGCAGGTGCTCTGGTGTGGTTTGCTCCTTCTTTCCTATCAAACATCTATCGTTCTTATCTCTCCTTTTTTCCTGTTTGTTACTCTCTTGTAACACCTAGTCTTCTGGGGCTCATATGACCTTATTCAGTTGCGAGCGCCGTAAAACCTCTATTAAAAAGAAAAACCCAAAAAACTTGTCCTGTTCCGCTGTCTGTGGGGCTGTGTGAACAGGTCAGTAGAGCTAGATCTAACGTTTGTTTGTTTGTCTCCATCAGGTGTTGTGTCTGGCTGTCTGTGTCGGCCACGTGGACATGTCGGCTGAGGAGCTGTACCAGAACATTACCCTGGCCATCAACTTCCTGGTGTCTCTGCTCAAGAAGAACTGGCAGAACGTCCGTGCCCTCTACATCAAGAGCACCATGGGACCTGCTGAGAAAATCTTCTAAGTCTTGTGGCCATGAAGTTAATAAAAGATTAAAAAATGAATTGCTATTTTTGTCGTTTATATTTTTACTTGTTAGAAATCCCTTCCTTTTCTCTTATGCAGTTGCAAGCACCGTAAAACATTGCTAAAACAAACATTTCCATTCTACTTCTGTCTGTCGCCATTGTTGGGACACAAATTAAAAACGTTCTCATTTCAAATTATTTAGAAGTTAAGGTTGACATCTGATGTGTGGTGGGTGAGTGGCTGGAGGGCGTCACCGGCAAAAATAATCCAACTTCTTTTCTTTTCCTGTCTTACCTTTTTCCAGCACTAAATGGCCATTATCATGTCTTTGCGCCTCTCTTTACTCTAAACTTGTCATCTCTGCTCACAAGTTCTTGTTTATGTGTATTATTTCTTTACCCCAGCCTTGCAAGAAGCCCTTGTCTGAAATTAGCTAAAATTGTCTTACGGTGTGGCATGTATTGAAATAGTGAAACTAGAGAACTGTAAATGATTATCTTGAAATTGAAAGTAGTGAAAGCTGGCGTGCTGACAATATTCTTGTTGCAGAATGAATAACCACCCCCAACTTTCGGATATGAACCCATGGGTGGTCTACAGTTTATTCTGTAGACTTTCGTTTGCGCCTGTACCTTGAAAAGCACCATTTGTAGACGCATTCTTTTGAAGGTAAATCATATGTTCTCTGTTAGGAAAACCTACAGAGGAGAAAACCTGGTGTGAGGTTCCTGTATTTGATTACAGTTGTGGTAAAGCAGTGTCCAAACTTGTAACCAGCAGGTTATCATTATCATGCAAGTCTACCTTGTCTGGGATTGAAAAAAATTATAATTCTTGGCAAAAGTAGATTTCACATTGCAGTGCAGTGGTAAATCGAACGTTTTAAAAGATATTAATGGTGTTGTTTCTACACCCTAATCGACATGATCTAGATCATATATGAAGCAGGCATTGACACCGCTTAGGATACACAATATCCAGAGCAGAAAGAGCAAGATACTTGATAAAAATTCTTCCCACATGGGAATTGAACTTTGGTCTTCTGGTTTTTGTAGTAGTTTTAGTACTAGATCTGGTAAAGTTTTATGTGCAGTGACACGGCCGAAGTGCCTAATTGACAATTGCTACATCACAGGCGCCAGTAAGTTTTGTAAGATGCCGAATGCTTTGGAATGACTGGAGCTTTGTAAGTTACGAGGAATGACATTTTTAAAGTAAAAAGTGATCAGAGCATACATGTCTTAGATTTATGGGGGACGGTCTTCTGTTGCTCATTACTGGTGCAAGTATGCCAGGGAACGCCATTTTAGTAATAGTATAGTGGGTACAATTTATAAGTCACTGCTAAACTATACATGTAACTTGTAACAGGATTCATCAAGCTATAGCAGGCGTATCTGAACTTATATAATAACCCTTGAGTCTGGTCTCTTACTCCCCACACATGCTTAGCTATAACTATACTAAAAACTATAACAGTGGTCCAGCTCCAACCATTGACAAAATCCTATTGATGAAAACACGAGACAGCAGAAAGTTGAGAAAGAAGGAACCTATGAAACGAAGTGACACAGTGTCCATCACAAGGCAAATTGCATCTGCATGGTCTACAGTAGGCCTTAGCATTAGCTGGATGCATCTTATATATATGTGTTGTTGATGCAAAGTCGGTCAACAATGATGACTTAAGTTAGTGTGGCCTTGGTCAGGTAGCAAATCATTCATCTTCATGTACATGGTAGCCTAGCCTACATGTATTGAGTATTGTCTCCACGTCTGGTGGTCAAACTTGGGAATTATGATTGAAAGAAAAGAAGGCACTGGGCACTTGATCTATTGTCTATAGTACATGATAATACTATAATAGGATTCAGCTATATACAAGTATATAATATATATATATATATCACATCGGTCCCAGCAGTCGTGTTATAGTTATAGCTCGGGCCATCAGAGCCTACTTGCGTTGTGTAGTAGTAGTAGTAGTAGGGTTAAGTGGTAGTAGTCACAAGTGACAAAGTACTCCATGTGTGTGTGTAGTGACACGTGGGCTCAGCATGATCGCTATCGTGACATCGTCTCAACATCATTCATACTTCTGAACAGAACAGAGGAGGGAAGTCCACCTAATGATACAGAACCAGCATCTCGTTATTTAACCCTATCCGTACGTCGTGTTTTACTATCATATCCATACGACGTGGGGAACTCTGTGCCACCACTTCCAAAGAGGAAATTTACTCATCCAATCTGTATGCTTTGCATAGCAGTCTGTCAAAATGATTTTTTGAGAAATACTGGAAAGTTTCAAAGAGATCTTCGTACTGGAAGTATTCTTAAATGTGAAGAAAACAACCCTGAGGATATAAAATGACCCCAGGGCGTACGGATAGGGTTAAGAAAGGTCCTACTTGGTTTCGACA